ACCAATTGCCGCCCAGGAAATACAGGACCTAGTATGTACTTTATTACCTATCTACCCGTAGCTGGAAGACAAAGAGATGGTTTCATATATTTTCCAAAGGTTAATTGCGCGTAAGTTAAATTAAAGATATTCAAACTCTGCTCTCCAATTTCTCAACCCCAGCCGATATCCATTACTTCACCTTGCTTCCTTACTGTAACATCTGCCTTTCTAAAATAACCGCTCGCTAGATCTATGCAAACCCCTCACAGGTATATTCACTGCCGATGTGTTAACACATCCAATCTGCGAATCTCTCATTTTTCTCGTTCGCGTGTTTTCTCGTTGTTAGTGCTTTTATTCTAATACTCGCAACCATAGTATTTTTCGCCTGCTGCTGGTGTTCCATTCATTTTTTTGTTTCTCTCTTTTGTCTGTACCATATCTCGAACATTTTAATTTACATATATATAAATAACAAATTGCAGCTCGGAGCAGACACAAGGTTCGTTCACGGTGTGCAGCTTCTTCCAATCGAACGCTTGTGGTTAATAGATGGAAAAATAACAAAATAAGCAGTTTTCTTTGTGCTGTCAAGTTTCTTTTAAAAAATCATTCATCAAGTCGGCTCTACCTATCTTCTCAGGATCGTTTGACAAGTTTCTTTTGAGGCCCTTTTTTGAATAAATGGATAAATCCGGAGATTAAGTGACAGCAAATCTCTTTTATAATCCCTATCTGTTTTCAGTAATAATAGGTCTGGACACCTCCTTCAAGTTATCGCAGTGTTTATCTTCGATTATTCAAGACGATTTCAGACCTTTCAGACCACTCTAACTCCAGTGGTCACGAAGCACACGTTCACGTTTCAAATCGCGTTTAGCACTCTTGAAAAATGTAAACAAATGTCAAGCTTTCCCCTGTCTTTTTTATTTTATTTCGGGCTCTACTAAATAATCGAAATCCATCCCTGGTAATTGTTCTTCGCCAGGGTTGCAACAAATAGTTGTAGCATTTTGACCAGGCTGTGAGAGAAGTCGTGGGATTCTTAAATTCTCATAGACTTGTCTTATGGAAATAAGATAGATCCTGGTTTGTACACAAGTCAATAGTTTCCATGATAGAGTCCAAAATGTTATCACTGTACCATATGTATAATATTTTGTCCCAAGATATAAAATATTAAGCGCTCTTACCAAGTTCGATACTTCAGTCCGCTTGCTTTATCATTTTTCACTTTGTGCTAATGTTTCAAGTTTTTCTCTAACATTTGCTTCTATTTTAATTATATTCTGTAATCTGCTGAATCAATGGCGCCCGCTATTTCAAATATTATTTTTGTTTTCAATGACTAGATCCAACTTTTGCACTTTTATTGTGAGATCTCTTTGAATGTCTCTGTTTCTTGAAAGTTTGTGACACTGGATAATCTATTTACATTTTCTGATCCGTTCATATTGACTTTGGAGGTCCCAGATTTGAACTTATATTTCAGTTTTGCCTGAGGACTATTATATGTTGATTTTAATTTTAATTTGTCATTAACAAGGAACGTTATAACTTAATCTGATTCATGCATTATTATAGAACGTTAAAGTTTTTTTTAATGGGAAAACACATTATTATCAGACAAAAACATAACGTAATGACGAATAATTTTTGTAACATAAAATAATAAAAATGGTGATTAAACATTTTCTATCAACTAAATACAATCAAATACACATTCTTTAAAAAAATTGTAAATAAAATTATCCTCTGAGTGTCTTCAAAAATGAAAGTCACTTGTATTTTTATGTGTAGAATTGAGAAAGTCCGTTTTTAAATAAGTAAATTTTAAAACAATATTTATGAATTGACGTGTTCAGCGCAAAATATATATACGCAAGATATAAGTCAAGAAGAATTGAATATAGAGAGAGGTGCATGCACCTCCTTTTTTGTTACTGAGGACAACAGGTGGGTGTCTGACTACAAAAGACCTCTGCTATAAAAAGGACTATTACAAAATTGAAAATGTGTTCCTGCATTTTTAATTATTTTAAATCCCCACTCCCCAAATGCAATGAAGCTTATGCAAAATTGGTTACGAATAATTAGAATTCCGTCAAATTATATTTTCGATTAATTCCAAGCACTATTTTTCATATTGACATAAAGCTTTTTTTATCAGTCAGAAATGAATATTTACAAAGTAAAATGACATAGAGAACTGACTTTCTTACCAGCAATCATGAAGAATATAAATTGCAGATAATGAATTGTTGATTTGACAGTAATGGATAAGCGGCTCGGATTGAAAAATTGGAGAGCCAAGTTCGAATTCCAGCCGAACCCATTTCATTCACTTACGGGCTAATGCATTTGAGAAAGCTGTGAATACGCTTCTTCTCCCCCACCCTAGATATGGGTAAATAGCAGGACAGACAGGGTTCTATAGCCCTGGATGGCAACTGGTCAACTGTAGAAAGAAATGGGAACTTAATGCGGAGGGAAAAGAATGATTCGTCAATTATGTATTCAAAGATACATGATCGCCTAAGCGTGTATAATTTTTTGGATAATATATATGAACAGTGGCTTGGTTTACATGTCACTTCAGATTTTTTGATCAAATTTCAATTTTTCACACCATTTCTAGTGGTTCAACATTTCAAATCAATCTTATACATACATATATACAGATTTTATAGACAATTGTTACTTTATAACTTTCGACATTCATTTGAGGGACCGTCTTTTATTTATCATTGTATCTAACTTTTTCTTGAACAATGCTTACATCGGCAATAATATAATTGCTTCCATTTTATTTTCTTGGGCTGCTAATTAGCGGGTTTCATCTGGTGTCATTGAATATCATCTAAGTCGCAATCTCTACGCGATTTTCTAGTAATTTTATTGATTTTTCTGAAATGATTCCGTATTTGATTTTTGAGCATTCAGTCTACAGTCAGCATATTTTATTTTTGTTAATGGTACAAAAATGATACCTGTCCTAATCAACGATTCATTATCCCTAAGTTATACTCTTCAAGATGGCTGGTAGGAAAGTCGGTTGTCTATGCCATGCAAAACAAATTTTCTCGGCAGAATCTATCTTACACATTTATAAATCTACCATTCACCGAACAGACGAATATTGCTACCACAAATGATCTGTTTCCTCTGTTATACACCTAGAGATTTATGACAAAAATCCAAAGAGTCTGCAATCCTATCAGACTTGAGCTGGCATCTAGTCTTCAGTCAGTTTCTCACCGCCGTAAAGGGAATTCCCTTTGATTTTTCTATAAATATTTTCACGGTAATTGTTCGTTTGAGATTTCTTCTTTGGCACCTCGACTTAAGAACTGTACGAGCTTGGCAGCTAGGTCTCATAAATTTCTACGGTTGATGTTGAATAATAATTTATTTTACTGCACTTCTCTCCTGTAGATCTTTCAATTTGTTTCTCACATTTCTGTCAAGTATAATCATTAGAAATTGAAATGTCAATGGCCCTCTTAAGTTTCCTTTAATTCAGCACTTATTATCGTCTCTGTTTCATCCACATGAAATGATGTACAACATATATATATATATAAAGCAGCCTCTTTATATGATTATTTTAATTAAACGACAGATTGAAATCATCCTCATTACTTTTTACAGCTTTCCAGTGTCCCATGTTAGATGCCCTTTTGAACATTTCAAATGTCTATAGCGAAATTTTAGGGTTTACAATTTGTTTCCCTGCTAGACACCAGTTGAAATTGTCTGTTTACAATATCAAATGAAAATTCACTGCCTTCATGCATTACTAAATTTTCTTACTGTTAATTTTCTCTTACTTAACTAGGCTCTCACAAATTTTACTTGATCTCTCTTGTCTATGTCTTGTGGGCTTCTTTTTTCTTTGCATTTACATCTTTTCTACTGGTAGCAAACATATTTTGAGTGATTTGAACAATGTTTCTGAAAATTGCAAGCTCCTTGGCTATCTCTCTTTGAAACATCTCTCCACATCGAAATCACAACTTTCATCTTTGTTTGAGGAGAATTATTAGACACGATTTCCGTGTAAAAGAGCAACGTAATGGTAATGTTAATAAGGTGAAACAATTCCGACTTAAAAATGTACGTAGTATTATGACGTCATCATATAAGCCGGTTCATTAGCTCAATATATATATATATATATATATATGAATGTATGTGTGTGTGTGTGTATTAGGACCTTGAGTAAGTTCTCGCTGTTTTCCAACAGATGGCGTTTCCAGAACTGTGTGCGTGCAGTTTCAGAGGTAACGCCTCTATAAAGAAGTACAATAAGAATGCATTAAATTCAGTGCATGTCATTTCACCGAAGTTTTATAGCCTTAAACATATCGGATTCCGTGCCAAAGAAAGTGAATTTTCGGGTAAGATAACTGCACTATTTTAATCTAGAGCTAAGCACAAAGATTTCTTGTTGAGATTTTTCGGCGACAATGCTCTGTCAAAAACAATATGCAGAGATTGTTTTAGACGCTTTAAAAATAATGATTTTGATGTTGAAGATAAAGAACGCTTTGCTGAAAAGAAAAAGTTTTCAAGACGAAGAATTGGAGATATTACTTCATGATGACTCATGTCATGCGCAAACCTAACTTGTAGAATCATTAAGAGATGATCACATATCACTTTTGAAAAGTTTGAATGCATTAGAAATGATTCAAAAGCAAGTACATTTGGTGCCGTACGAGTTGATGTCGAGAAACGGCTCTCAACTCGGTATCCCTACTGATGACACAACCGTTTACTCCTGTCTCGATAGTAAATCTGAGTAGTTCGATAAGGTCATATTGGCAGTAGGTGACCAAAACAACATTCAGTCTGTTGTTGACTTAGGCAAAATATTGCTTGTTAATTTTAACGCCTCTAAAACTAAACCACTCTATTAATCATTTGAGAAACCCATCTCAGCCTTCCATCAGTGTGACTGATACAAACCTTCAGGAAAATGACGCGTTGCACCTTCTCGAACTGACGTTCTCGGCTTACAGAATCTGGTATTCTCAAGCGTTCACCCCTCTTGATACTGAATAGGTCCGATGTGGCTTATCTTCGGTGATCGTAGGGGAACCGATGTTTCAACGTGATATGGCCGTTAGCCATAAAACCCGCACATCCACATGGTGTTCTAAAGCGGTCAACCATTTTGGTATTGAACAGGTTCGATATAGCGTAAATTTGCTGATCGTACAGGAATCGAACTTTCAACATGATGTTACCGTAAGACTAAATGATATTAAAGAAAAGGAATCTGGAGAAATATAGACGCTAGCTCCTCAAAAGCATATTTAAAAAGAAAACAATTAAAAAAAGTTTTATATAATCATTTTCAATTCTGATATAGTATTACCTTTAAACAGGAGCGTAAATATAATGTAAATGATTTTTTCATTACTGTATTAGAAAATTCTTAGTCAGAAAAAGTCTATTTAACTAGAGCCTATTTCTTTCATTTTTTTCGTATTTTCTGCGAACGTTACATTTATTTTCTTTTATTTAATTTACGATGAAAAGACGTCCTACATCTAATACATTTGTATTAAATACGAACAGGACAAGACGAAGCCAAAAGCAGTAGCGAATCAAACGTGAATTAGCCTAGTTTCCATACGTACGGCACCATTACTCTTTCATGTCGGCAAGGAACTGTTTCAGTAAATACATGCGAACGGATATCGTTTCTTTACAGCTATACAGCCTGTTCAGCAATTCAATCTTCTCTCATATTTGATTTAGGACGACGTGAGTGGCAATTCGGTTGATAAATACTTGAACATCAGCTTTTGTCCGATCGATAACGTTTCCTTTGTAATTGCAGAAAGAAACATGTTTGTATGTAAAATAATAAGTTACAAAATAAAATAGAACATTCATCACGTGGTTTCGTTTGCTTAGAGCATCTGGCAAAATAGTGTTTTATCAAGAAGAGGAAAAAAAAAGAGAGTCTGGGAATCAAATGATCCACCCATCTGCTTCGTCTATCAGATTCCCCCGGGCGGAAACAAAAACAAAATATAAAAAAAAAACAGCTTGATTTCTGTTTATCTCTCTTCCATCCCCTTTCGAAATGCGAACAAAGCTTAATGTTTCGCCATGTTGAGAAAATATTCATGCGATTATTTTTTTAAATATACACAATATAATCTATGTAATTCACATAAGTCTCTCATTTTATATATATATATAGATAACTAAAAATATTTGGCAAAAATTTAAGTCTAATATTCAATGAAATATCTTCTGGGTGTTTACGTGGTGTAGCGGTTTTCGTCGCGTAGAATAGGATCGGCAATCCAACATGGAGGAAAAGCGAGTGAGAGCGTCAGAAAAGAAAGATAGATTGTACAAAGATAGTGGAGACCGAATAGAAAAACAGAGGAGTTTGTATACACGCATATATATATATATATATATATATATATATATATATATATATATATACTTACACAGACACAAATACACACACACACACACAGAGTTGGATAATATGATCACTAATTATGGAGGCGTTATTACTCTATTCAATTTGCCAAATTGTCTTAGACTCAACAGAGAATCCTACATCAAATGCCATGAGCAGGTAGAGCTGACGTTGCTAAAGAAGCTGTCTGCTGGAAGATCCTATGTCTCTCGAGAGGACTCTCCTCCATCTCACACAAGCTGCTGAAATCAGTCATGGCCGTCAGACAATTTCTGCGACCATTTCACACCTTACATCTGGCCACCTAACTCCCCAGAGTGTAACCACGTTTATATAGATGGTGCAGTTACACAGACCATCTAGAAGAGTTACAGAAGATTCCGAATTCAACTAAAGGCCAGGATTTAAGCCAATGTTGATATTCTTGAATTAATTTACTCCTCTGTAATGTTTCAGTTTGTGTGTGTGTAATTTTGGCAAATATAAATGTTAAAATCTCTATATTTCTGAGATTAGGCATTGTGTACCATATTTATATTATTCGGACTATGTCGAACTGAACCCTTTCTTTCGCTCACTGTGGTAGATTGTTCTAGTTCCACGTTCCTTGTCTAATGTCAGTTATCAGTTATGTTCTGTTAATTCCCCTCTCGAAGTTCTCCACCGCCTTAACCAGGTTTTGAACTCAAACTCTTTAGATCCTGTCACTGGATCTAACTAACGCCTTTATCCACTGTGCCATGTGTCCTCGTGGATAAAGCCATTAGTTAGATCCAGTGGCAGTACCTCAAGAGCGTGAGTTCAACTTGGAGAGGGGAATTAACAGATAACTGACACCCATTAGACATGGCACGTGGAACTAGAACAGTCTAACCTAGGGAGCGAAATAAAGGTTCAGTTCGACATTCCAACTACCTGAAGATGGCCGGAGAGTACAACGGCCGAAACGATGTAATAAATATGGTGACAAAGATGAGGGCAATAGTCCGGAGAATATATATATATATATATATATATATATATATATATATATATATATATATATATATATGTATGTACGTTTAAACGTTTCGACTATTATATTTTAATGTTAAAATAATATTTTCGTCTCCTATATAGGAATCTTTAGTCTCAGGGCACTGAGTGTGTGTATTCGGTAATCGCTATTGTTAAGTTTATTTGTTAAACACACTCGTTTAGTTAATCGATAATCCTGTCAACTTCCTTCACTCAAATCCTGACATAAACAGTCATAGGCGTTTCGTTGTCAATCAGCCATATCCTAAATGTCGCTTTGCCCATGGTTTGTAGTGATTTCTTCGGGGTAATTTATCCCATTTCCTTCTTCATTCGATCGTTCTGAGGCTTATTATATGTGTCCTAGGAGTATAGCAAGACATTTTCTGTCGGAGAATGCTTTTCTTTTTCCAAACAAACGTTAGTAATGGATAGAATAACGACGTTTTTTAGCGGAAAAGGCTTGTCAACCAAGTTGAATTGTTTCATTGAAGTATTTACAATTTGTTGCGTGTTTACAGTGGCTATCACTTTTAGAATGAAATCGTTGTTTCCTGACTTTGGTGGTAACTTACTTGCGAGTTCAATCTCTGGGTCGTGTAGTACTGACTCTGATTTAGTAAAAACACAAGCGGCAAAAACAGAACAGTACAAAAATGAAAAATACGAAATATTTACTGACTGGAATTCTGGGATGAGGTGTTATCGTTATTTATACTATTTTATTCGGATTATTTTCCTCATCTTTGTTGTTTTTATCACCTGATCTCCTTTTGTTGAATTTCATTATTTATACTATTTTATTCGGATTATTCTCCTCATCATTGTTGTTTTTATCACCTGATCTCCTTTTGTTAGAATTTCTGGAATGAGGTGTTATCCTTATTTACACTATATTTTTAGGCTAATTATCCTCATCTTTGTTGGCTTAACTCCTGATCGTCTTTTGTCTGAATTTCTGGGATTAAGAGTTATGATTATTTACACTATTTATATTCGGATTATTGTCCTCAACTTTGTTGTCGATATCACAACGTTTCGGACGTTATGCCCACCAGCGTTTATTAGGAGCATATCGACCGATGTATCCAAAAGGGAATTCTGAATTGAATCATTTCCTTAATCTACGAAGATAGGGTGAGCTCGTTCCTCTGCTCATGTTTAAAGATATCGTTTAGCTATTTTTGTTAGTACTGCTATATTATTAGTCGGCTGAGTCGAAGTAGACACTGAGCGGCCTACTTACTGAACTCACAGTTAACTATGTTCCCGAATTTACGTACCAACGCTTTCTTCCGATTGTCTATTCTCTCGTATAACACAGATCGATACACACCTGATGACGCCGGGAGGGAACAATGATTAAAACTTTGTGTTAACAAAGATTAGATAAATGTTTCGAATATAAATAATGTAAAAAAGACGAGATATCCCTAAATAAAAAAAAAAGCTGGACAAGAACAATCTATCCAAAATAAATTGTTCAGTTCGAAATTCCCTCAAATTTAGCCCGGACTCCTGAAGAAGGCCGAAACATTATGATAAGGGAGAATAGACACTATATTATTTGCTTCCAGACTAGTATTCTCTTAATGGTTGTCATTATAACAACGTTTCTGCCTTTGTGAACTTCCGGTCTTTAATTAGCGTCTCTACACCGGGTTCACCTTTAAGGAATTTTGAACCTGGACGGTTTATTTAATTTACAGTGTGATTTAAAAGTAACTCTCAATTTTAGAATACTTATAATTTATATATAAACTATAATTTTTACAAGAAATGAGAGGAAAGCGTTTAGCTTAATGTTTTATTTAAAATTCGATATGGACACCAGATTTTGCTAACAGCTTCTTGATATGCTCAGGAATCACGTCAATTGATTTCACCAAGAAATCTTGACATATGTAATACGCAACTTCTTATATTCGTCCTTAAATTTCTTCCACAGTCTTGAATTGATATAGTAGATTTGCCCCTTTAAGCAACACCAATGAAAATAGTCACAGAGTGTCACAGGATGGCCTCTCATACATTATAATAGGGAGTTACATCTGAATTACTTTTTAGATGAGTACATTGTAATCATTTTGCTGAAAAAGTTTTGATATGTTTTGTCTATGGCTTATTGAGTATCACTTCGTTATAGCTGGCTCTGTTTCGGCTCTGTTTCGGCTCTGTCCAAATAAACAGTACACGGTCCAAGCATTGATTTCGCAATGACCATTTCATCGAATTAAAGCTTTAGTACACTTGGCTATTTTCCTGTAGGACAATCCTCAGCGGAGAACTTAAAACATGAAGCCTTAAACATCATGCACCTGCTGATGTAAATAATAACATCCCTGGAAATTCAGATTCGTCTTTGTTATATTTATTCTTGCCTCTTTTTTCTGAATTTATCGAGGACGTGACACGTTGCTTTCCTTAGCGCCTATTGATTTTAATTGACCTTTGGGGTATTATGTTCTCCAAAGCTTCTTTCTACAGTATGTATCCAGACAATGTGAACTTCGACAACTTTGTACTCAAAGTTACGTAAGAATTAACTACCTTAATTAAGCCCTAAATTCAGGTTATCATCAATAATTCTGATTGTTTCTTGCAATTTGATTAAGTTTATCCGATGGTGAGAATTGTTATTTTGTTAAACAAGATTTGT